TAAAAATAATCCAGGAACAGCAAAGGAAACTTAGCTTGCCATGAAAAAATGTCCCAGATAAACAGCAGTTTTTGCAGGTTATAATTCTTAAGCCTCAAGGCATTCTCTGATACAATATAAAAAGCTGACATAATCAAAATAGTTCCATTGCTCCAAAATAGTATTTTATTTTATAGTTTTTAATTACAATATTGCTATGATTCTACCTGCCATAATAAAGGAGCAATTATTAGTTATTAATGTTGCTGTAAAGCTTCAACATGCTATTTTCATCTGTTTTGTCATGATAATTTTGTTGTGTGTGTGTAAGTGAGATACTTGGATGGTGATGAAAACAGGATATGTGACTTTTCATGACTATTTATTAAATTTGGAAAAATATGACAGAACAAACTAGTAATTCCTGAACTGATTTCAGCAATCAATCTTAAGGGCTCTGGGAATTGGAAAACATGCCAAGGGGGTTCCTTGTAGCTAATGTGTCACCAATAGATAGCACTGAAAACAGTCCTATCCATTTACTGGTTATGTATTTCAGTTTAAACTGTTCGCCATTATTCCCTGCACGAGTCATACGGTATAAAACTTGCTTATTTTTTAATTGAAGTTTTTATATATTGCCTTCCCCCCAAAAATATGAAAGCATAACATTAGCATCAATAAAAGGTTTCCAAGGCAGCACTATAGCTCTTAACAAATTAGAAGTTTAGTTTTAAAAGATCTTGATTCCCTTTCTGGAGGAAGACAAAACTTGATCCAGTTAAATTTTCATAGTGATTGCATTTCCAGTTTAAGACTAATAGAAAGCTGTTTTCTGTATACTTAGTTTTATCAGAAACACCTCCCCCCCGCGACCTTTTTAGCTGATCCTAAAAAATTCACTCCTGATAACACTATATTGCACTAGTTTAGGTTTATGAAGGACAAAAAACTTCATAAAATGGCAGTAGTAGGGAAGGCATGGAGTTACTTCACAGCACAAATTACGAGATAATTCTTATTTTCATTCCTGCCCCAACTTTCAAATATAACCTTTTGCTAAGATTTAATGTCAGTACTGCCTATAGGGATAAAACTTCCTTTGTGCAGTGATAGAGCTAACACATAGGCATCATGTTGAAAGTTTAATTGGATTACAAATCTCATTAGTCCTGATCCCCTTGAATATAAGAGCAAGGAGATATTTTAAAGACAAATTTAAGTCAGCCAAGGAAGCCTGTTATAAAGTTGAAACTGATTATTTGGACTAGACCCCATAGTCTGAATTCCTCTGTCATTAGCTTAAGCACTCAAGGAGGAACTTCATAGTTAGGAGGCAAATTCTTGCATTGCCTTGCATTGTGCATCTCATTTTCTTTTGCCTTCACTCAGATTGACCACAAAACTGCTCCCAAACTTGAGAAGGACCCCAAAAGAGGACCCCAAATCCTGAAGGACTGTGTGCCTGCACCAGGTGCTTTCACTTGGACCTCCCCCTCCAGAGGCTGCACAGAAGGTGAGAGCCAAGCCCGAAAGGCAGCCAAGCCTTACTCTGTTCCCCCCTGTGAATAATGCATGTGCTGGATAAATTGCTTCGGTGAGCTGTATCCGACTGGGGGCCATAGTTTGAAGCCCCCTGGTCAAAGGAATGTACTGAACTGACTCAGTCCAAAAGCACTGGTGAGCTAGTGATTAGAACTTTCTATCTTCCTTCCTCTTCTTGCATGAACCTCGGGAGCTCTGTCTATTGCCTGTCATCAATAACCAGGACCATGCAATGAAAAGTACCCTAATCTTCCTTCCTTTATGTACAGTCTGGCTTTTATTCTCTTTTTCTTTCATTTCACTGAACTTCTGATCCTCAAAACCAAGGTACAGTGTATATGCCAATAGTATTCCACTTATCTAGAGCTTACTTTGTCTAAGGCAAAGAAAAGGCTTGTATAGAGTATATACTAGATTACTAAAAACTACAAGGCATATTCTGTCCCAGTGTTAGCTCTCAGAGATTCTTCACTTGTCTCTTTCTTTTGGATTAAATAGAATTTTGCGTTGAATTTTTGAATTTTTCAGTAATAGTTTCTTTTTCCTTCATTGCCATTTTCCATTGACTATTTGAATGCTTTGTATTCTAGTTTTCACTGCTCTTTCTTTAACTGAAAGGATTATTTTAAAGACCTCCATTTGATTTCTATTCTTCATGAGTTTTACTTTCTCCTCAGAAATTCTAACTTAGTAGTTAGAATGCAGAATGCAGGCTAGTTCTTCTGACTGCTGGCTGCTTGAATTTTGGCAGTTCGATTCTTACTGGTTCAAGGTTGATTCAGCCTTCCACTCTTCCGAGGTCAGTAAAATGAGGACCCAGATTGTTAGGGACAACTGACTCTGTAAACTGTTTAGAGAGGCATCTAAAGTACTCTGAAGTGGTATATAAGTCTAAGTGCTATTGCTATCACCATGCCCATCAATATTTTTCATTCTGTCATCTCTCAGTAAAATCTAGCCTCTTTCTGAATAGTGATTCCTGCCAAACGAAGGGATCAATTTAAGATGAAATTTTCCTCAAAACTCCGACATGTTTTTAACAAGACAAACATGTTTCAGCTGTCCAAGCCCTACATTTTAACAATTAAATTGATTTTCATTGAATTGTGCTTCATTCCTAGCGCTATATTTTTGGCATTTCAATTTGCCCCAGATATAGCTTGTAATTTTTCCAAGGCTTTCCAATAATCTGCGTGCTGCTGTCCATTTATTTTATCCATTGGGTTCTACTGCTACTACTTCACTCTTGTCAATAATAATTACTTTTATGGTTTATTAACTACTTGCATTAAATGTCCAAATATGCAAATGCTCCTTATCACCCCATTCAATAGTTTTCCTTGTCTTTCATAGTAATTCTTCCAAATTCATAATTCATTTAGCTTTTTTCATCTTTTCTTAGTGCCAATTTTCACAATCATATAGTACTATTGGAAATGCCATTGCTTCTGCTCTTCTGTACACTGTTGTCATTAAAAAGCCCTTATCTTTCATATGTGTATCTGAATTTGTCACTGCCTTGTCCTTATGATTAATCTGCTCATTATTTCTTAAACACACTGTCCATATTTATCTATTCTTGAACCCAGGAAAACAACATTATCTGTCGCCCTCATTTATTTGCTAACAACTATCAGTCCATGAAGCATGCTGTTACCTTTGTATTCTTAATATTTAACTTTAATACAGACATTTCCCTTTGCAGTTTTAATTCCATAAAGAGCTGTACTAAATCTTTTTTTATGTATTGGAGTAATGAAGTACCATCCACTTCTTATGTGAAAATGTTGTTTTGGTATCCAGTTTTGATTTTAGTTGCCATCATTTTTAATCTTTCCCTTTTTAAAATGTATTTGTTGTATATTAAACAGATATAGGAATATGGACATCCTTGCTTCATACATTTGATGGTTTCTATATGCTGACATGATGACATAAACAGTCAAAAATTTTATATAGTCAATAATCAATAATGCAAAGGCAATCTTTCTTGAACTCTTTTACTCAATCAATTCTTCTTCTTAGTTTTATTATTTTATAATTAGTTTAAGATTTAGATACTACTTCACTACTTTATTTCAGAAAGTTTTCTGAAACCCTCCTACTCATTTAACATATCCTGAGAAATCCATCCATCTGCTTGGTAAGCCCACATAGCAAGGTAGCAAGAATGTGGAGCCACAATTATATAAGCTATATATAACTTATATAATATATTGGACCACAGTTAAGCACATACCTATAATTGCATAGCTCGTTCCAGCAGACTTGATAATCAGGCACATAAGAATGTTTGATAAGCAACATTATTAGCCATCTTGAAAGTACTCTTTTTGTTTGCATATAATTTATATTAAAAATTTTAAACAAGAGGACAAAAATAAAAACAAACTAATATAAAATGAGGTAAAAGAAAGAAAAAGAAAGAGATAAAAGAAAAACGTGCAAGAAAAGAAAACAAGTTGAAGAAATATACATGAAAACAATATATTAAAAAGTGGCTTCTATTATTCTAAATAGCATTCACAAATATATTTTAGCTTCTCTCTCTAAAGTTATATTACTCTTCCTTGTATAATTTACCTAATCATGAAAACCACAAATCACAAGTTCATTTTTTTTCAGTTTTACACAAAAAGCCCAAAGGGACTTTCAGCTACCTGTAAAAGACATGTCTTTTCCTAATCAAAGAAGTCAATTTATCCATTTCAGCAAAATCTATCAACTTCACCAGCCATTATTCACCAGCTAATATCAAATCTTTTCATCTCTGCACATATAGTAATCTTGCTATCATGGTCATATATTGAAATAATCCCTACATATTTTTCCTACTAGTTTATCTATTAGTCATTAAAAGAAAAGTTCCAGTTTCAATTAATAATTGACCTTTAAAACTCTCTGTATCAAAGCAAATATTTGAATCAATTTCTTTTTACCTTTTTTACATGTCCACCAAGAATGATAAAATGTCACTTTTATGTTGTGCTTATTTCCAGCATATATTTTAAGTGCATTAATACATGCTAGATAATTTTTCATGTGTTAAATATCAACAATACATCATTTTATAATGATGAGATCATAATACATTGTAAGTTTCAACCCTTTTAGCCACATATATTTTCACTGATTGACCTGTATATTATAATCAAACTCTTACCCACTTTCTCATGTATTCTTTATCCTGTTCTTCCTCTGTTCAAATGTCAACAAAATCTTATATATTTTAGCAATTAGATATTCAGTTACAGTACATAACAGTATTTTAAATTCTCACTTACTTTGTTACATGCCATTAATACTTTTATCCATAACTAAATATGGGAACATCTTTGACAATAACATCCTTCTAATTATGATCATGGAAATATTCCAATTACTGGTATATCTCTAATGGGAGTTCCAATTGCAGTAAAATCAGGTTCAAAACTTTTATGACCTTTCTCATATCTGAGCTATGTAAAGCATTAGACCAGGAGTATCAAACACATGTTGCCATGGTGGCGTCATGTGATCTATTGTGACTTTTTCCCCTTTTGCTAAACTGGGCATGGGCATGGTCAGCATGTGATGCATCTGGACCGTGGGCCATGAGTTTGACAGCCCTGCATTAGAAGCATTCCATTTTGTGAGCACAAGAAAGTTAACATCTATAGTATTCTTTGTTTGGGTAACTGCCATGTCTCCTACTAACTGTTCACTCCTGGCCATCTGAGACCATCTTTCACCAAATGTCCTTTTTGAATATCATTGCCATTCCTATGTCCTCATAATCTGAATAGGATAACAATGTAATCATTTGCCTTAAAGAGGCTTATTTCAGTCCATTAAAGTTCACCTAATAAGATATTCAATTTGATACATGTCATTTCTCTTTTATAGTTTTAATTTTTTTCCTAGAAATGTGCTTCCAAAATTAAAGTGTAATTGAATATAGGCCTTCTTCCAATGTTAACATCATAATGAAAATTCCTTGTGACATTGATCTGAACTCATCATTATTGCAGATATACTTGTATTAACTTCTACATTAATTCCCAATAATAGAAGGACTGTCTCCTGATCTTAGTGGTCACATTATGGTCATGTATATCCCCAAGTCTTGCTAAATATTACAGCCCTTTTGTGCCAATTTATTGTTTAACAATACAAAAAGGGTTTGTTACTGCAATCAGCTTGAACTTCCAAGATATCCTAGGATCAGACAATGAAATTATATGACATTACTGAAGTGTGATACTAAAGTTAATTTAATTTATACCTTGGGTATTATAAAACTGTATATATTCTTTCTTAGTTTAGAGATAAAAGGAAGATAGTATAAAGAGTAATTTCAACTAATAAGAAAATATTATATAATTCAATAAGTTATTAATACAGTAAAATATCTGATTTTAAATACATGCAGAAAACCAGTGATTCAGAAGTATTTTTTAAAAGCAGGATTTTTAATTAAAAAAACAAACAATTTTTTTTAAAAAGAAACCGATATATATAAATATGTATATTTAAAATATGGACTATAGTTTGAAATTCAAAAGTTACTTGTTTATCTATAAATAAGCAAAAATAAAGCAAAAACATATTAAAAATTTTCATAAGACCATAAGTGCTTGGGAAAGAGAACTCTCTTCATAAGGCCCTAAGTGCTTGGGAATGAGTTATCTCTCAATGCAGATAACTCTTCTACAGTGATTATATAGCTTGTTCTAGCCAAGGGGAAAAGTCAAGATTTTCATGATGTCTTGACAGAAATGTTTTCTGTCCAGACCTCAAGAAAATGGTGTCCTGGGCACTGTGATACAGAAGGAATGCCTCCTAGATCCCCACCAATGGATATAGCTTAAAGGATAGAACCTAAAGCATGCTATCCCTGTCAGATACTATAGAAGTAGAAAAACATTTCTAGAGAAATGATTCCTCAACATTAACAGGAACAAAAATTACTTGCAGAATCAATGTACATTGATCTGCAACTAAAATAATTCATAGCCGAAAATGGGTGTCTAACAATCTAAGTAAACATATTCAAGTAAGATTTAAGATAATAAATGGATTTGAAAGGGATGTTTGCCATGTGTGCCACAGCGATATAAAAATTACTCTGTGCCACATGCCAAAATGTGATAAGTTGCCATGGCCAACTCACCTCAGCCAACTTGCCATGGGCCAAGTCACTATGAGACAATTCAAACATTCAATTTAATTATTTAAAATAATTAAAAAATCTTTTAGTTTTTTGTCATTCACATTTCATGTTTGTCCCTTTTTTTGCATCCTTTTTTTAATGATTCTATCCCACAATTTCTTCAATATTAATGTAACTCTTGTCCTGAAGCGTTTTGTTCCATGGCAAGTTAGCTATGGCAAGTTGATCACTGCAAGTTGGCTGTGGTGAGGTATCCTAGACCCATGACATGCACCCTTTCCTCGTCAATCTAGGAAAGAGTTCTCCTTGCTACTTTCTTGTTTTTCTGCAAGCAAATTGTGGAGTGCTTCGTGGCATTGTGAAGTTCTGATATAGTTAACAAGTTCCCTTGTAACCTTTCCACTTACTAACAATGTAATTGATCAGTTCTAACAATGTACTTGATATCTTTTTCTTGCTAGACACATAATCAGGTTTATGTCGTCCCTGATCAATTTCCACATATGGTTTGGAAAGCAGGAATTTCCTCCTGTTGTTATACATATATTCTGCTGGTATTAATAACCAAATATCAACTTTGTGACTAATTGCTGCACTACTGTTTTCTGGTACCATGTGGGGAAGGTATATATTCTAAACATATATTCTAAAAACTCTAAAGAATAAGTCACAATCAGTTGCCTTTGTTGTCCCTGATCATCATAGCTGAATGGGACAAAAGCTCACCTGAGGAATATATTGTGTCTGTTAATATTGTTATTAATAAAAGTAAATGATAGATTATTTATTATTTCATAATGACATGAGAGTCATTTTTCACTTTGGCATTTGCCATTCATTCTTTTTCATGATCATAAAAAAGGTAGTTATTGTCAGCAACATGTTTTTTTTTTGTTGAAATGAAATTTAGGTGAATTTCCTTGGCATTCCCATATTATACTTCTGTCTTCCTCTAAAGGGCATATGATAACACCCATGACTCTTCTCTCTCATTTTATTCTCATGACAACTTTATTAGATTTCTTTGCCTGAGAGAAAATGTCATTAAGTGTATTTCATGGTCAAATGTGACCTGAATGTTGGTCTTCCTTGCTCTTATTTGATACTCTAACCACTATACCACATTCATACTTTTTTGATATTGCACAGTATTTTCTATAGATCAAATTATCAGCAGCACCTAAAGTAAAAAAAACTTGCATTAATATTTTTAAACCATTTATTAATAAAATAATATATATTTGCCCTTATCTTCTTTCATATACTTTGGGACATAAATATAATAACTAGAATATATGTTGGCAAAAACTAAATGGTAAAAAATATCTTACATCCATTTTTATCATCTTTTGAAAACTGAAATAAATAGCAATAAAAAAGCAATCATATCAAATGCTTAGCTGAAGTATTATCAGAAGTTTAAGGTAATATTTATAATTAATAAAGCCAAAAAGTAATTACCTGGACAGTTTGCTAGATATAATTATTTGGTGATTGCTGAAAAACCATATCGAAATGAACCCAAATAGCAAACAATTCATTGTAATATGACAAAATATTATACACATCTAAAAAATGTATACTATACCAAAATATACCACACACACACCAAGGGAACCCAACTCAATTTATTGTCTAGAAGCAATAACGGGCATTTCTCTCTTTCAGAATGCTTTGATAGAGCACTCAGATTGAAATTTTGTTACGCTTCTCTGAAACCTTGGACAGCCTTAATGTAGATCAACTTAAGCCCATTGTAAGAAAAAAAAAGATATAACTCTGGGAAATGCCTTCAAGTTGTAGTCATTCTAACAGTTTTTGGTATGATATGTTATGACTGAATGCAATTTTATCTATTTCTTTATCAAATTGTCTTAACGATATACAACACTAAATTTAAAAAAATCATAAATATTAAAAACAATCAAAATTAAAAATATAAAAATACAGAAAGCACAGAAGAGAATGAATGTAAACCACAGTAAAGGAGTCCTTCAAATGTGCATTCCTTACAATTGCAATCTTGCTGAAGCATCAGTTTTACATACAGAGAAACTAGGATAATATAAAAATTGATATACTTTTCCTTTATGAAAAGAATAAATGTCATGCATGTATATAACCCTAAGAAAATTATAGTACCATCTTGGCATTGCTTTGGAATAACTCGCTAAACTGCCTAGACAGATTTGTGTTTGCCATTTAACTATTATGTAAATATGATGACTAGGATATGTATACACACACTTATGTATGTATGCACAACTTTTTACTTAATTTTTGAGAGTAATTGCCATATAGTACCTGTTGTTATTAACCTTATACAGTTACAAAGGACATCATATAGCTATATTCCTGCTGTGTATTGCAAAATGTTGAACAATCATGATTGATACTGCAATTATAAAGTTAATGGTTCTGTAAGTCATTGCAAAGTCATCTTTCAGTTAAACATTATGATTAAGGTTTTAAAAGTGAAGAAAGCTATTTTGACCTTTAACTTATCATGTAGTTCTTACGTGAAATATAAACTAGTATTAATAAGGATGAAGAAAAGCAGGTTCACACTCTCTTTTGAATACAAATTCATTATATTACTAAATTGAACATCTACCTATACCATAGCAGATCACTTAATCTCTTCTGAAACATTTGAGAAGCGACTAATTGCTTTTCAAACTTAAATCAAAATGAAGTATGTAGATTCTAATATTTGCAAATGGCACATAGGATACTATCCCAATCCCATTTCCAATGAAATGGAATGCAAGAAGATTTTCTTCAGTCCAGCCATATATTTGATTGTGTGTAATATACAGATAATTTCTGATACTTAGAACAGACCAATGGTGTTCTGCTTTATTTTTTAGTATAGGACTGTCAAACTTCTAACCTGTGGCTGGATGCATCACGTTCTGGCCATGCCCACCACCCAGTTTAGTGAAGGGGGAAAAAGTTCTGATGCATCACATGATGCCATTGTGACAATGTAAGTTTGACACTCCTGTTCTGATAGATAACATTGTTGTTAGTTGCGAAGTCGTGTCCGATCCATTATGACCCCATGGACAATGTTCCTCCAGGCTTTCCTGTCCTTTACCATCTTCTGGAGTCCATTTAAGCTCACAGCTACTGCTTGAGTGAATCCATCCAGCCACTTCATTCTCTGTTGTCCCCTTCTTCATTGCCCTCAATCTTTCCCAGCATTAGGCTGTTTCTCCAGTGAGTGTTTCTTTGTCATTAGGTGGCCAAAGTATTTGTGTTTCATCTTCAGGATCTGACCTTCTAAACAGCAGTCAGGGTTGATCTTCTCTAGAACTGACCAGTTTGATCGCCTTGCAGTCCAAGGGACTCGCAGGAGTCTTCTGCAGCACCATAGTTCAAAGGCATTAGGTAACAAATAACATTAGGTAAGGTTAATT